CGCCTAGACCCCCGCGACGCCTCTTGCTCACGGAACCCGCCGCCTCACCTCACCACCCCCACCACGCGATGCGCCCTCTCTCACCGCGCGAGCGGCTGTACCCCCCTCGGCCTCGCACCGCCTGCCTACTCCCGCTCGCAGGTACAGCCGCTGCCATCGAGGAAGCCGCGAGCGACGCGTCCGCTGCTGCCCATTCCCCACCCTTGTCCCGCGCGCGACCACCCTCCCTCTCTTCTGGCAAGAGAGCGACCCGCTCTCGCTTGCTCGCCAATCGCCGCCCGGCTCCAGTCCGAGCGCCGAGGACGCGAGAGAGCGCGCCGGCGGCCTCGTCTCGACGCTCACGCCGCCGACGTACTGCCCGTAGGCTCGGCTCTCCTCTCTCGCTCTCTCTTCCCGTTCAGCGGCATTCATTTTTGTGTTTTTGTGCAGCCGCCGTCGCTGATTTCTTTTTATCCGTGTAGGCGAGGCTCGAGGGCATGGGGCGGGGGGGGGGGGGGGGGGGGCTTCCGGGCTTCCGGGCTTGGTGGGTGGGTGGGGGGGGGGCGGGCTCCAAAACCCCCGAATGAACCTTTCCGGGGGAGATTCCCTGAAAATTTATCAAACCCGGAAACCCCCCATATACCCCCATACACCCCATATACCCCCATGTACCCCCATATACCCCATATACCCCCCAGACATCTTAATACCAGTTTTTCACCCTCTTTCACATGGTCGCGATCCCGTAGGCGCTTGCCTTTCCTGCTACGAGCCGAGATTGACCTGAGATTGACCCTGCCGAGTCAAGTTCCCGCCCTGCTCGCATCTCTGCTGCGTCTAGAGACTGCCACTCTGTGTCCGTAGCCGCGAGGGCCACTCGAGAGCGCTGGCCTGCACCTCCCATCGGGGACACCACCCTCAACCGCTTCTTGACTCTCTGCAGGAATTCATTCGATCAACATGCTCAAAGTCGAGCTCGTGCCGGCCGCCGGTGACAAGCTCGTGCTCAAGCTCTCTCCTCCGCCGCCGCTTGCTGACAAGCAGGTGTGCGTTAATTTGCAGTGGCTCAGGGAGGGGGTATGCACGCGCACCGCTGCAACGCACGCACGCTGCGCCTTCCCTGCAAGACTAGCCTCTCGCGTTCTGTGGCTGACAGGCGTCTCTGGCGGACAACACGACCGTCATCGACTCCGGCGAAGGCAACGCCATCGGCATCCCCTCCGAGCCCGTCTCGCTCAAGGATGTCATCGACACCGGCACCGGCGGCACCGGCACCGCCAGCACCGGCACCGGCAACGTCCCGCCCGAGGGCGAGCCCGGCCCGCTCAAGGACGGCATTGACGCGGGCGGCGGCAACGTCGAGGGCGAGCTTTCGCCGATGACGTCCTCCGCGAAGGTCGGAATCGTGCCGGCTGACGACGGCCGCATCACGCTCGTCATCTCCGCGTCGGTGACGCCTTCGCTCCTCGGAGCCAAGGTGCGCGTGCGCACGCCAGGATCGTGATCATCCCTCTCCCGTCTCCGAGAGCCTGCGCGTACTCTCCCTCGCCCACGAACCCTGAGGGAGGGTGTAGAGGATGTAGAGTGTAGAGCGCTGTAGAGCTGTAGAGATGTAGAGCGCTGTAGAGCTGTAGAGCTCTACATCCGGCGCGTGACGATGTGAGTCGCCTGTAGAGCGATGTAGAGCGCAATTTTGCTGTAGAGTTTGTTGTAGAGGCTCTACAGCCAAACCGCCGGGAAGGCAGTGACTCAAAGAGGTCGAGCCGCGCTAATGGGGTGTCTCCGAGCTTACTGGAGCTCTGATGGACAGCCCTGACTATCCCTGACACACAGAGAGTCACTCTGACGGCACGCAACACCCTATGACTGCGTCATGACCAGCCTGCCATGTGTCGCGCCGTTGCCGCATTCGTCGCTGTGCTTCTTTAGCAGGCGGTGGACTGTCGGCTGCGAGGACGGTCGCATTTGCGCGAGGCGAGGCGAGCATTCAGACGCGTTGCATGCGCCATGACTCGCGCCAGCGCGTGCGGGAGCTCCTGGCTGAGCGTTGAGTCCAGGCGAGTTGCGCTGGCCACTATCGCTACGCCGAGCCGAGCTGACGCGCCGAGGCGCCGGCCAGTCGCAGCCGTGAGGCATGCCACAGCAGCAGAGGCACCTGCCACCCATTGGGCGGGCAGACAGAAGGCCAGGGCAGCACTGGCAAGTGCAACGCGCCTCATGTCGGAGAGCGACCGTGCCTCGTTCGCCGCTTATGATGTAGAGTTTGTTGTAGAGATTTCACGTTGTAGAGCGCCTCTACATCGCTCTACAGGCGACTCACATCGTCACGCGGCGGATGTAGAGCTCTACAGCTCTACAGCGCTCTCCAGCGCTCTACATCTCTACAGCTCTACAGCGCTCTACACTCTACATCCTCTACACCCTCCCTCAGTCCGAACCCACCTCTGCGTTGTCTGATGCAGGCGCGCAGTAGCTGTATGGGCCGAACGCCTACGCTTTCATAGTGTATTGCGCGAGCGGTGGAGCGGGATCCATCTACTCGAAGTTGTATTTATAGACATGCTGAAGATCAGAGGCGGAAATTGGCGAGGACGAGGACGAGAAGACTGAAAAGGAGAAGGAGTCCTCGGTGCACGCCCTCCCACACAGACGACACACACTGCCCCGCGCCTTTGCTTGACAGCGCGTCGCGCGCGCCGCAGTTCGAGTCGGTCTCGCCCGAGTCTGTCGGTGGCATCGGCAAGGCGCCCCGCGGCTCCACGCCGTTGACCACAGACTCGGTGCTCGCCGCCTGCATACGCCGGATTCTCCTTTACCGCCCGTCTGACGACCACGCCCCCTGTTCAGGGCGCGACGGCCAACCCCAAGACGACCACGACCGCCACGCCGAAGGGCTCCGTCTCCGCCTCCGGCTGGCTCTCGTGGCCCATAGTCCTGTTTACGATAAACTGGGTCTAAACAGGGCTCGGCCTGGGTGGGGGACCCCATTAGCCATACCAGGTTTAGACCCGGTTTAGGGCGCCCCCAGCTAGCTCCGCCGCCGCGGCCGCGCGGGCTGCGGAGCGGCAGCGTGCAGCCGCCATTCCTCTGCCTCCGCTCGGGCCGGACAGGCACACGAAGCCCGCGTTTGGCCCAAAGTCGCGCCTAGTAGAGGGACTGGGCGAGAAGCCAGGGCAAAAACCTAAAACAGTGCGCGCCAGTCCCGTAAGAAAGAAAGAATTTTACAACAAAACTCCCTCGCACAGCACTGGGCAGAAAGAAAACAGACAACCCAGGGGAGGGATGGGAGGACGGCACGCCGCCACCACACAGGCGCCAGTCCCGTGTCCGGTGTTTTTTATGTGTAAAATTCTTTGCTCCGGTGGTGTGCCTGTGATAGTACTAGCAGCAGACGGCCTCCGACCCACAGTCACCCGACGAACCAAGTGCACCTATACGCACCCTACGCTATACGCAACCCTATACGCCCCTCACGCGCCAGTTCGCACCTGTAAAGAAAGAAAGAAAACAGACAACCCAAGGGAGGGATGGGAGGACGCCGCCACCATGTCCAGCGGGTCTTGGAGCACTTGGAGCACTTGGAGTGCAATCGTGGAAATCTTTTCGTGTGCAAAGTTGGCGAATCGGCAGGCGACGCTCGCGCTCCACCGGCACCGCTGCCTACGTTGTGCCCGATCTGTGCATCCACCGGTCTCTGCCGACCGGCATGCGCGCACGACAACCCGATCTGTGCATGTCGGTGACGACGAAGCTTGAGGGCATGGAGGGCGGTAGCGACGGGGATGGTGACGGTGACGGTGGCGAGGGAGAGGAAGGGGGTCCATTAACACCAGACAGCGAGAGGGGCAGGGAGGAAAGGGGGAGAGAGGAAGCCAACGCGACGTGCGCAGAGGATGAGGATATAAACTGGGACGACGCAGCGGAAGGGATAGACGAGGGAATCGAGGGACCGGAGGGCTTTCGCGACAGCGACGATGACGACGAAGGCAGGGGAGGAGACGGAGGGGCGACACGCAGGAAGAGCGAAATCGCTGACGGCCCGAGCAGAGAGGGCGACGGCGGAGCACGAGGGGGCAACGGAAAGGCTACCAATGACGCGAACCGAGGCATGGGCGACGACGGGGACGGGGAGGGCGACAGCGACGTCGAGGTTGACGCAACGGTATCGAGAGCGCCACCCAAAAGGTCGCGGACAGCCATGGAGGTCACCGAATGGAGGGCGAACGGCACGACACGAAAAGGCAGGGCGAGGCGGATGGAGAAAGAAGTGCCGAGGAGGCCATGGTGGAGGGGAGGGACGGGAGGACGAAAGAAGGGCGAGGAGGACGGGCGGCCCGCACAGGCCGCGAGCAGACAGCGCCTGCTGGCCACCTCGAGACATTCGCAAAGAACGCTAGCTACATGGGAGGGCTTCGTGAAGGATGGATTGAAAAACATTCGAACAAAGAAGAGGCGACGGGAGGAACCGGCAGAGGATGCAGTGACGTGACACACACACACACACACACACACACACACACACACACACACACACACACACACACACACACACGCACACACACAGCACACACACACACACACACACACACACCGCTCACCCACGCGCACCGGGCCTTGCACTTTAAATGCCGTGGGGCTCCTGTCGTTAGACGTGGAGACGCGAGGGTTGCCCCCCCCTTGCCCCACCACCTCGTGTGTGTGGAGAAGTTTACCTTACCTTACCTTACTTCCCCGTCCGCGGGTCCCACATATTTTCCATGAGTGGTTGCGACCGTGCCCCACCCCGCTCGCAAACACTGGCCACCCTGCCTCCCATGAGACTGCTCGGGTCAACGCCGTCGTCGTCATCGTCGACGGTTCCAGCCCTCTCTAGCCTTCCTCCTCTCCCAGCGCCGCTTCACGCACGCAAGTCGCAGGCGCGGCGTGGCGTGGTGGCAGTTTGCGGCCTCGTGGCTGTGCACCTGAGCCTCGTATGCTCGCTCGCCAGCGCCGCAAAGGTCAGCTGGGCTTTCCCGGCGCTCATGTGCATACTCGCCGCCGTGGCGCTCGGCTGCCTGTGCTGTGTCCTGTGGATCGACCCTGGCACCGTCCACCGCAGCTCCTCGACCTGCCTACCTCTTCCGCCCGAGGTGGCGGCGAGGCTCGAAGGCGGAGGAGAAGACCTCGCCGGGCTCCGCAACCCCGTCGCCGGCCGTGACACCTACTGCGTCCGCTGCTGCGTCTGGCGGCGCGCCGGCGACGGCTCACCCCACCACCACTGCAGTGTGTGCCAGCGCTGCGTCTCTGGCTTCGACCACCACTGCGGCGTGCTCGGCCGCTGCATCGCCGGCTCGGTCGTCCCGTGGCGCGGCAGCATGCCCTACCTTCGCCCACAGGAAGCTTCCCGAGAGCAGCTTCCGATCCGTTCGAGCCTACCTGTAGGCAACATGCCCTACTTTCGACTCCTCCTCGGCACGCACTTTTGCGCGACTGCGGCCTCCGCCACCGCCGTCGCCGCCGCCGTCGGAGATGGGCTGGGCTGGCCGGTGGCGCTTGGGGGCCGGGAGCTGGCTGTGAGTGAGGACAGCGTCTCGTTCACGCGGCTAGCTGTGAACAGGTGGCGATGGCGGTCAGCGGCTGGCTCGCTCTCGCTCTGCTCGCAAACTGCGCGCCGCGCTGCTGCGGCCGGGGCGGTGCTCTCCACTACCAGCTGCACCGCCTCTCCAGACTACTGGGCCGACGCTGCCCGCCTCCGGTACTGCACTGTGAACGGCGTCTGGACACGCGTCCCGCTGTGAGCAGGCTGCCGCTGCGTGCCTCCCGTTAACGACTTCACCGCGGCAGACGCGCGCAGGGCGATGGTCCAGCTGTCGTCGCCACCGCCGCTGCGTGTGGCGGTTGCGACGCGGGTTGCGGGCGACGTGGAGGCTGGCGTCGCCGCCGAGGACACGACGGCGACCCTTCTGACCGCCTCGCCCCTCACACCCTCAACCAATCTCTCCTCGCCTCCTTCCTCGCCGCCGCCTCCCTCGCCGCCTCCCTCGCCGCCTCCCTCGCCTCCTCCTCCCTCGCCGCCTCCCTCGCCGCCTCCCTCGCCTCCTCCTCCCTCGCCGCCTCCCTCGCCGCCCAGTCTCGGCGTCGCACTCCTCGACGACCTCAAGCTGCGCGCGCGCTCTGCAGTGCGCGCCGCGTCAGCGGCCGCCGCCCGCGCCGGCCTCGCGGGCCATGGCGGCGGGGGAGGCCTCGGGTCGGTGCGCTGGGAGGTGTGCCCCTCGCTGGAGGGGGCGGGGTGGGAGGCGGCCGCCGCATCCTCGCTGCTGCAGAACGGGTTCGTGGTGCTCCGAGGGGGCGGGCAGCAGCTGCACGCCGCCTCTTCCGGCCAGGCAGGCGCGCAGACTGCCGCGTGCACCTTGGTGCCGCGAGACACTTGCGAGGCTTGCGCTGCGGCGGCGGAGGCGCGGCTCGCGTGCTTGCTCGCCCGAGCGCGCGGGAAGGGCAAGGTTCGAACTGCCCTCCCCCTCCGCCCTCTCGCCTCTCCCCTCCCGCCCCTCCCCGCGCGCCCCACCGCCTCCAGCGGCCACCCACGACACACGTACACGACAGTTCCACGACACGCGACCACGACACGTCCACGACACGTCCACGACACGTCCACGACACGTCCACAACACGTCCACGACACGTCCACGACACGCGACCGCGCCACGTCCACGACACGTCCGCGACACGTCCACGACGCGTCCGCTAGGACCCGTCGCGCGAGCCGATGCGCTGGGCCGACCTGTGGTCCCAGAACGCCTCGCAGCGCCGCTTTGACATGCGGATCCTCCGACACGGCTACGACCGAGCCCTCGCCGCAGACCACGCCGCCGCGGACAGCGCCGCAGACCGCGCCGCCGCGGACAGCGCCGCAGGCAGCGCCATCGACAGCAGCGCCGCAGGCAGCGCTGCAGACAGCAGCGCCGCCGACAGCGCCGCGGACGGCAATGCCGCCGGCGCCGCTTGCGAGGCTTCCTTCGCCAGGCTAGCCGGCGCCGCCGAGGCGGTGGCGCGCCCCGTGCTAGACGCGGCGGGGCTCCGCTGCATCCGCGAGGCGCCCACTCTGCCCGCCGCGCGGCCTGCCCTCTGCGAGCCTTCTCGGAACTGTCTCGGACCTGTCTCGGACCTGTCTTCGTCTCAGGTGGACTCTGTCGGCTGCGTGACGGCGCTCCCGGGAGGGAGGCACCAGCCGTGGCACTTTGACGGGGGAGAGGCGGGCCCGTGCATGCCTTCAGCCGAGAGGACCCGAGAGTGCCCGAGGGGACCCGAGAGTAGCCGAGAGTAGCCGAGAGGAGCCGAGAGGACCCGAGAGGACCCGAGAGGACCGGAGAGGACCGGAGAGGACCGGAGAGGACCCGAGGGGACCCGAGAGGACGGGAGAGAGGACCCGCGAGGACGGGAGAGTAGGCGGGGCTCGTCAACGCCTTCATCCCGCTCGTGCCCGTCACGCGGCACAACGGGGCCACCGAGCTCCGCCCAGGCTCGCACCGCTTCAACGACCCGCGCACGGTGCCAGTGGCTCCCGAGCTCGCCGTCGGCGACGTTCTTCTCTTCGACTGGCTGCTGCTGCTGCACCGCACGCCGTGGCGACGCGAGATCGCCCGAGATCACCCGAGATCGCCCGAGAGTAGGCTGCTGCTGCACCGCGGCCGTGGCAACGCGACGCCCTCGAGCCGGCCGGTGGCGTACACTGTCCTCAGGGCGGCGACCGCCCGAGGCAGCGACGCCTTGCGGGGCAGCGAGGCCCTCTACGCCAGCCGGAGGGCGGGCTTCGCGGCGGCGGCGTCTGCTCTTCTCCGCGTGCCTCCGCCGAGACTACCCGAGATTACCCGAGATCGTGCCGAGATTAGGCGGCGTCTTCTCCGCACGCGTCCGCTGAGGAGGCTTCGGCCGATCTCGAGCAAACCTCGAGCAGACTTCGGCCGGCTCTCGGCCAGCTCGAGGCGGCGATGTCTCGCCTCGGCCCCGTCGCCCTGTCGCTCGGCCTGCCGAGATGACCCGAGATGACCCGAGACGACCCGAGATTAGGCCTCCCCGTCGCCCTGTCGCTCGACCTGGCTGCATTGCGCGTGGCCGCCTGCAGTGTCTCTCCGCGTGAACGGCGTCTCTTCACGCCTCTCCCACTGTGGACAGGCGCGTGACCTTGTGGTCTTCCGTCGCTCTCGCCCTCGTCGCCGCCCTCACGCTGAGCGAGTCCGAGGTATAGCGCGATCATAGTCATATGAAGAGCTGATGCTGCTGCTGCTGCTGATGCTGATGCTAATGCTGCTGCTCACAGGGCGCCTGCAGAGCCCGCCTCGCCACCGCCTCTCTCCGCTGGGCTCTGCCGGTCGCGGCAGTCTTCGCCCTCCCCGCCCTCGCCCTCGAGCTGCATCTGCGCTGCTCCGCCGGCAGCTACGTGCAGCTGAGCGTGGCGGGTGGCGCATACCGCCCGCCGATCGACCGCAAATTCGCGAGACGCTGCAGCCGCACCAGAGCCGCCCTCGCCGCCGCCGCCGCCGCCGTCGCCGCGGCGGCGGCCTTGCTGGGCTACTCGGCGTGCTCGGTCGTGCCTCCCACCGCGCTGCTCGGCGTGCTGGTGGCGCAGGCGCTCTTGCAAGCGGGCAATCTCGGGTAATCTCGGGCAATCTCGGGTAGTCTCGGGTTCCCCTCGGGTAGTCTCGGGTTCCCCTCGGGTAGTCTCGGGTGATCTCGGGGTTTCCTCGGGTAGACTCGGGTAGTAATCTCGGGTGATCTCGAGTGATCTCGGGTGATCTCGAGTGGCGCAGGCGCTCGTGCGAGCCTTCCCCGCCTTCTCCGCCCCGTGGTACTGGGCGGCGCACTACGCGTGCACGTTCGGCGGACGCGAGGAGTGGTGCCGCCCAGCCGAGGACGCGGCGGCGGCTGTGCAAGTGCGAGCGGCGTCTGTTCACACGCGCCTGGCTGTGAACACAGGTTCTGCTCGGCCGAGGAGGCGGCGGCGCTCGCGTCCAAGCCCCTCCTCGACCAGCTGGAGCGCTTGGCGCGAGAAGAGGGGCCGCGGGATTGCGGCGGCCGCGGCGGCGGTGATCCTCGCAAGCCCGAGAGGCCCGAGATGACCCGAGATGACCCGAGAAAGACCCGAGATGACCCGAGATGACCCGAGATTAGGTGGCTTGCGCGGCGAGCAGGCGCCCCTCGCAAGCCCTGCGGAGGGCGTCGCCAGCGTCCTCGTCCTTGGCAACGGCACCAGCGCGCTGGCAGACGAGCTAGCTGCGAGATATGGGGAGATCTGGGGAGATCTGGGGAGATGCGCTGGCAGACGAGCTAGCCGCCTCGCGCCCTGTCTCAACAGAATTGAAGAGACGAATCTCTCTCTCTCTCTCTCAGCAGACAGGCTCGACGCAGTCAAAAGAGACCCGAGGCTGCAGACGCAGGATACCTGTGGGCAGGCGGACGAGCTGGCCGCCGCGTGCGCCGGCCGCCAGGACCCGGCGCGCGTGCTCGGCCACTCCCGATGCCTCACAGATCCCACCGCACACACCCCTCCCTCTCCCTCTCCCTCTCCCTCTCCCTCTCCCTCTCCCTCTCCCTCTCCCTCTCCCTCTCCCTCTCCCTCTCCCTCTCTCTCTCCCTCTCCCTCTCCCTCTCCCTCTCCCTCTCCCTCTCCCTCTCCCTCTCCCTCTCCCTCTCCCTCTCCCTCTCCCTCTGCCAGGCGGGCTGCCGCGCCGTCCGGCCGGTGCGTGTGCTGGCGAGCGACGTGTCAGCGAGCCTGGTGTGGTCGATGCGGCTGCGGTCGATGCGGCTGCGGCGGCGAGCCCTGCTCTGAACAGCGTCCCTTCACACCTCTCGCTCTGAACAGCTCGATGCGGTTGCGGAGCCGTCCTCTCGTGGATTGGGTCGTCGCTGACGCGCGGCGGCTGCGGTTCGATGCAGGCCCCTCGCAGCGCATGGCGGGCGGGCAAGGGCGCGTGCGTGTGAACGGCGTCTCTTCACGGGGCTGGCCGTGAGCAGGCTCGCAGCTGATGGTGGTGGACAAGGGCGCCCTTTCGGCCGTCGCCGTCGCCGGCGTCGCCGTCCACGCCGCTTGCCTCGCCGAGGCGCGTGCTCCTCTCTGCTCACCCCCGCCTGCTCTCCTCGCTCTCTGCTCACCCCCGCCTGCTGCTCTCTGTCGAGGCGTGGCGCGTGCTGCTCGAGGGCGGACTCCTCGTCTCCTTCTCGCTCGGGCCGCCGACGGCGCCGCCCCCGTTCCGGCAGGCCGAGGCGCAGGGCGCAGCCTTCGAGGTCGGGCCGCCAGTCACAGTCGCCTCCTCAAAGGCGGGCGAGAGCGTGGTCTGCTACTTTGCGAGGAAGGTGGCCCGCGGCGGGCCGGCGGGGCGGGTGGATTGCGGTGCCTCCGCCGCGGCGCGGCCCACGACGGCGCCCTTGCGCGGGCCCGTGGCACTTGCAGTGCCGGTCCAAGTCTAACGCCTGACCCTCGCTGACCCGCTCAGCTCATGCGCGTGCACATGTGAGTGTGCCCCTGCATCTTTGTGTGACAGACACTCAGAAAGAAGACAGATCTACAGTGAGGCATGTTGGGACACAGAGGCTACAACAGTCACCGACAGGCCGCTTTGCTAGTCCGTACGGCTCTAGTCGAGAGGGAGAGCTGGCTTTTCCTAATGCGCCGGCGCGCGGGCGTGCAGAGTATTCAGCCCTACTCCGAGTCCGAGTCGGAGGAGGAGGAGCCGAACTTGTTCTTGAAGACGTCGAGCCAGAGCGACTCGCCGGTCTTCTTGTTGTACATGTAAGGCTGGCCGGTGGTGTTGCTCGTGTGCTTTGCCCATTCCGTGCCGGGCGTCCGTGCCGGGCTCATGGGCGGCGTGGCGGGGGGCGTGCCGGGCGAGGCGGGGCGCTTTGCCTTGCCGCTGGTGGGCGACCACGCCCGCCAGGGGCAGTCGGGCTTGCCGCGGATGCACTTGCCCGCCGTCCCGTCCTTGGCGCCTGGCGTTCCGCACTTGTGGCAGGCAAAGCGGCGCGAGCCGGGCGAGGCGGACCACGAGAAAGACTCTCCCCGCTTGAGCTTCGTGTGGAAGAGCTTCATCGCGGACTTGGCCTTGCCGAGTCCGACGAAGGCGGTCTTGCGAATCATCGGCAGGCTCACCCGCCACTTGCGGTTCTTGCGGATCGCGCGCACCTTGGCGGCATAGGCACCGGCACCGAAGGACTTGTCGATGTACGCGGCGTCCTTGACCATGCCGTCGGCGGGCGCGGCCTTGGGTGGTTTGGGCACGGCGACCATCAGGTATGTGCGCTTGACGACGACCGTCGCGCCGATGGGCACCTCGTTCGCCTCCCACGACTTGGACTTGTCGAGTTCCCGCTCGCCGTGCATGATCTTGGACTCGCCAGTCGAGCCGAGCAGGTAGCTAGGGTCAAGGTGGTTGAGGATGTCGCCGACGCTCGCGGTAGGGTCGTAGCTGACCATGCACGTGGAGCCGTTGACGTCGAGGGCGAGCGTGGTTGGGTACATAGCACTCGTGGAGAGCCCTCGTTCGGATCGATCCGGGGTTTGAAGAATTTTAGATGCGTTTGAAGAATTTTGCGCAGGGTTTGAGAGTAAACAATTTTAAAATCCCGTTCTCCCATCCCTCCCTTGGCTTCTCCGTTTTCTTTCTTTCTTTCTTTTACAATTGTGCGAAGCGGAGTAAACAATTGTAAAACGATGATGCGACAGGAGCGAAGCGGAGTAAAGCATGGTAAAACGATGATGCGACAGGAGAGAGAACGACGAGAGTGAGAAGACCGCGAGGTGGCACGAAGGGCGCGGCGAGAATTGGCGAGAGACTGCGAGGAGAGATAGGAAGAGGCAGACGCCCAAGGGTGGGCGACGGTTTAGCTAGCACCACACGCCGCACCGAAAATACAGTGGCCAGGGGCGGGGCTTGCATTTTTGCCGTCGCCAGTCGCCCCCCCAAACGCTACAGCGGCGGCGGCGGCGGCGGCGGGGGCGGCGGCGGCGGCGCGGCACGGGGTGGGTCAGGCTCAGGGGGGTGGGGAGCCGCTGCCTGCCGTGTGCGCTGCGCGTGCGCGCACCGCACACCATACGGCGGGAAACAGACGGCGAGGGGGGCGCGGCGGCAGCGGCGCAGCGCGCGCGCGGCGCGCGCGACGGAGTGGCGGAGCAGCGACCGCTGCAGCGGTCGCTGCTCCGTCTGTCCCGGAGCGCCGTCTGCGCGGGGTGCGCGTCAGGAGAGGGGGCAAGCGTGGCGGCGCGGGACGCGCGGCGGCGGCGGCGAGCAGCCGAGCGCTCCGTGCGCGGTGAGGCGGCCGGGCGAGGGCGCGGCGGGTGACGGGGAAAGGGAGCAGCCGGGCGACGAGAGGTAGGAGGTGCTCGCCGGCGAGCGCTCCCGCGCCTGCGGAGGGGCAAGGCCTGAGGGCGGGCGGGCGGGCGGGCGGGCGGGCGCGCGGGGGGGTGGGGGGGGGGGGATAAACGCTGCGCCGCCCCCGCACCAGCGACACTGGCCGCGGCTCGCCGCCGCGCGCCGGCTCGGAAGAGGGGCTGTCGACGGCACAGCAGCGGCACGCCTCGGCGCTCGAGCCGCCGACAACCCCCCACCTCGACGTGACGGCCGTTCCCAGGGCCGGCCGGTGCGCGCCCGACCCACGCCCCCTCTCGCACCTCATCGACCCCCCCTGCGCGGCGCACCCGCCCGCTGTGCGCCGGCTCGAGCGCCTATCGCCAAATCGCGACGTTTGAGCGCAGCGCACGCGTCCCACACGTCACGCGCGCGCAGGAGAGCTTGCGGCGGACACGTAGCGTGTACTCGCCGAGGGCATCGCGCCGAAAACCCCGCGCATTCCGCCCCAGCAGAGACTGCAGCCTCTGCACAAGCTACACCACTCTAAGAATGGTGACTATATAAGCGTGGGTGGGCTTGCTTGCTCCCTTAGCCAGGGAGCAAAAATGCAAGAAAACAAAAGCGGGGTGTCGTCATCATCTGTCCAGCGTCCACCCATACCGCGTTGGTGTCCAGTCCGAGCCTGGCTGTTCTTCACCTTTCTACCTACCTACCTGCGGCGTGCCTACACAACACTATACCGCGTGACGCGTGCGTGTAAGTCCCGGTTGCCAAGAGGGCACTGACGTGCGGTGGGGTCGGTAAAAAATGTGTGTAACGCATTCAGCTGGCGAACGGGGCGATGTCGGACGAGGCTCGCGCAGCGGCGCTGCAGCCTCGACCCATGCGGGGGACGCTGCCGGCAGTCTCGCCGCCGCGGACGCGCACATGCCTCCAGATGGACCTCCGTTTCGGAGCTCGACAACATCATTGCGGAGTTCGAAGATGGTGTCTATGCGACCCGAACAACAGGAGGGAAGCATCGACGGCGGAGACCTCGAGTCAGATCGACCTGCGGAGCCGCCGGGCCTACCTGCGGAGCCGGGCCTACCTGCGGAGCTCGGGTTCGCAGAGCTGCTCGGGGGCGACGATGAAGGTGGCAGCGGGGGCGGCGATGCGGACTATGCCGGCCAATAGTTGCTACCTTTCGAATCGCCATCCAGCGATGCCGGGAGAGGCAGTTCACGCGCGAGGCCAGCTGCAAGCGGCGGGCGACGGCGCCATTCGCAAGCTCGCATCACGACGAGGTCGTGGAACTGGTGCAGCGGCTGCTCGAACTGCTCAAGCCGAGCCCGTACAACAGCCAAGCGCAGGCCGACTCCTACGAGACGGTCGAGGAGTCCCTGCGAGCCCTCATCGACGCCGACAGCCTCGACTACCGCGCGGCGCTGCTGCTGCACCTGCCCGACGCGCCCGCCCCGGCGCAGCGGATCGCGCAGCAGATCAACGACCTCGTGCTGCAGTAGCTGCCGCCGCTTTACCCGCCGCCGACGCCCGCCGCGCCGTTCGGCCTCCTTACCACGAGCGGCTTGCCTCCTTACTACAAAGCGGCTTGAGGCACGCCCCTCGGGAGGGCACGATGTCGGCGCGCGAACCGATTTGGGCGCCGAGCTCACCGGCCACCGCGAACGGGCATGCCCCAGGCGGCGAAAACAAACTGGGAAACACCTGATAATGATAAAAAGAGAGGAGCACTCTTGGCGCCCTTACAGCGTTTCTCAACTGTTAGATGCAGCACGCGAGCGCGCTACTGGCCCACCGCCTGGCACCGCACACATGCACACACCCCCTGGGCCGGGCTCGGTGTGGCGGGCCGGGCGAGCCGGGGAAACACCAAGACGCACGCGACGGCTGTCAAACTCGTGCGCAAGAATGCAACGGGCCTGGGCGGTGAGGGGCGAAGAGAGCACTAGGACGCCCGAGACGCAAAATTTCTTCCGAGTACGGCTCAGTCCTCGTCGGACGACTCCTCCGCTTCATCAGAGGCCTCATACGGCTCCCCGTCGGAGTGCTCCTCCTCCGAGCCCTCCTCATCATAGAGCTCCAGCTGTTCCTGGTCCATCTCCGCCTTGTTCTGCGCCTTGGCGTCCTGCTTTGCCTGGAACGAGCGCAAGATCTCCGGGAGATCAGAGAAGAGCCGGTGCATCGAGCGCTCGTTGAGCCACTGCTGGTGCACGTGCTTGTACGCAACCTTGACGGCAGGCCAAACGGCGTTGACGGCCATGCGCTTGTCGCACAGCGGTGCCGAGTCGTCGCCCAGTGTGTGGATAGCCAAGTTGAGGCTTTCGCGGCTAATCAGGCCGGACGCCATCAGCACGCAGTTCTTGCCGCCCTCAAGCGCCGCCTTCATGCGAGAGGAGTTATCGCGGCCGACCGAGAAGCCATTGACGGTCATGTTGTCGAAGAAGGCGCCGTCGACGTTGTTGGCGAAGCGAAGCGCGTTGGCCTTGTCCGCGGCGTCGAGGTCGATGACGACCATCGCCTCGTTTCGGATCGATCTTTTTGTGCTTTTTGCCTGGAACGACAACAAAAAAATCAACAAACAGCACAAAAAAGCATTTCACTACACCACGGGAGCCGCCGAAGCGACTCCTGTGCCTGCGAGGACGGCGAGGCACTTAGCAGCTCCGTCCGTGCACTCGACCGCCAGATGTTAAAGAAATTGCCGTCCATCGAGACTGACACGCCCACGTGTGTGTGTGTGTGTGTGTGTGTGTGTGTGTGTGTGTGTGTGTGTGTGTGTGTGTGTGTGTGTGTGTGTGTGTGTGTGTGTGTGTGTGTGTGTGTGTGTGTGTGTGTGTGTGTGTGTGTGACTCACTCACTCACACACGCCCACGTTCGTGTGCGTCGCCCATCTCTCCCTGGAGATGACTGCTCTATTTATTTATTCCCACGTTGTTCCCCTGTCTGTCAATTTCGAAACGACCAACGAAATCTCTCTCTCTCTCAATTTCTTTCCTTGACAAATAAATAAAGAGAGCAGGCATCTCCGGGAGAGATGGGCGAAACGAGGGGTGGGAGAAGGACAGGGTCCCCACCTGCACGAGCAGGATCTTGTAAGGACGATCAGGGACACAGGGGAACGGGAGCGGGGAGCGCATCGCGACACGGAGGGGGGCTGGGCAGGGTTCACCCACACGACAGGGTCCTGTCTGCTGTGAGAGGGGCTTGCGCAGTAAAAATTCTTCTTTCTTGCGGCTAGAGCTGGCCATTTGCAGGTTGGCCGGGTGCTAGGCTCTGAACGCGTCGGCTGCTCTGGCCACGATTGCTCCCGCAGGCCCGCCAATGGGCGAGCCGGTGCTCCTCCTCCCTCCGCCCGAGGAGCCGGATCTCGACGAGCCGGAGGACAGCTATTACGCCAACATTCGCTGCGCCCTCCTCGTGCTCCTCCTCCTCGCCGCGACGCAGGCCGGAGCACTCGTGTTCACCCGCCGCTCGCTCGGCCCCGCCAACGCCGACGACAGCCGTGACTCGGTCCCCGTGCTGATGTGCGCGCTGGCGCAGGGGCTGACGTGGGCGCGCGCCGCGCTCCTGCTGCTGCTGCTCGGAGGCTGGGTCGACGCGCTGCCCCACGCCGTCGGCGCCGCCTCGTTTGTCACTTCGTGGGTCGTCACGCCTTTTGCGTACCTGTACACCGAGGGCCGTCCGCTGCATCGGCACGCTCTTCCCCGCCGCGGCCTGCGTTGCCAGGAACTCGCGCAGCCGCAGGCGCACGCGCCGAAGCTGCACCGACAGCGCCGGCCCGTGGGGCGCTAGCATCGGCTGCTCATCGCCACGCGCAGCCTCGTCCTGCCGCTCGTCGTCCTCCG